CTCCCCTCTCCTCTTCCTACCATTGCCCCCTCCCAGGCGTTGTGGTCCCACTGACAAGCCTCGCCCTCAGCCACGCTAGTCTGCCCGAACACGTGAGGTCGAATGAGGTCCACATCACCGGGGAGGGGGAGGGGGCATGGACCTACCCCCATCTCGACGAAAAGACGCTCGAAGGGAATGAGCTCTATCGCTACCTCCGCGCCCTCGCGCTCTGCCATTCTGTCGTCTGCTTCGACGTCGAGGAGGGCGGGAAAAGCCCCACCGCGGAGGAGACCTCGATCGCACTCCCAACCTCTAGCTACGCGCGGAACGTCGTCTTCTCGTGCGAACTTCACGGGGAGGAGGAGGGGAGAGGGGGGCTTTTTGAGCCCGGAGAGTGCGGCTGTTCGGAAAACGTCGGGGAGACCTCACAAAAGCCCCAACATCGTGTGTTAAAACAACTTCAGGTCCAACATCTGCGCATGCTGAGCTCCGGCTCTATCCAGCACCCCCGCACGAACAGCGCGGGGTGGTATTATAATAAATACAACCACCACCCTCCCTCCGCTGAGGGTCATGGCCATCACTTTAAACTGAGCGAGCAGATCGACCGCTCAAAGCTTTATGAAGGGCCCTCGCTGGACGAGATCGCACTGGTGAGCGCCGCACGGGAGAACGGTTTCTGTCTCTGCGAGCGGACCTCGACGAATATGTTCGTCCGGGTGATGGGTAGGGTACTTTGTTATGAAATCATCGCCGAACTCGAGTTCACCCCTGAGCGAAAGTTGATGAGCGTTCTCCTCCGGCGAAACCCCGCACACGATTCCGAAGAGGCCGCCCGCAGCGCCGGCAACGGCGGGGGTCACCACTACTACCGAGATCACCGAGAAGCCCTTGGAAAGGACGGAAACGATGAAGCGAAAGATAGAAAGGGAATGCCGACGTCGAAATACCTTAACAACACTTCTTTTTCTTCGTTTAAGACGGGCGATTCAACACACTCGGCGCTCTCCCATGAGCACAAGAGAGGGAAGACGGCGGCAACGGCAACCCCCGAGCATGATCCCGTCTGCGGGATGTTCAAACGATACAAATGTCTCACCAATGAAAATTTGTCCACCGGGTTACCGATTACCGGGAAATGCCGGCTCGAAACTTTGAATTGTTCGTTTACAAGAAACGCCGATACGCCCTACTTACTGCTAGTGAAGGGTGCAGACAAGATGATGTTTGACATCACAAACATGGTGAACCCTCGAAACCAGAAGCTGAAGAAGGATTTAACCAAGCAGCTTGACGAGATGGCAAACAAAGGGCTTCGGACGCTCGTCCTCGGGCAGCGACAGCTCTCACAACAGGAGGTGATAGAATGGATGCCCATTTTCAACTCCGCGCAGTGCAGTATAAGCTCTCGTGGTGCCCTCTTGCATAAGGCCTACGCCCTATTAGAAAAAGATATCGACCTCATCGGAGCGACCGCGGTTGAGGATCGCCTGCAGGATGGCGTCCCGGAGACACTGCGGTTTTTCGCCAAAGCCTCGATTGTGGTGTGGATGCTCACTGGGGATAAACGGGAGACGGCGATCAAGATCGCCTTCACGAGCGGCCTGATGAACCAAGCTGGCGGGGAGTGGATTTTTCACCTCGACGCTGGAGCCCTGGAGGGGGAGAGGAGCGGGGAGGAGACCTCCCTGCTCAGCTCGCCGGAGAGCCAATGGGAGGGGCGTGGAGTCAACGACGCCGAACTGGATAATGGGCTATCCAACATGAAAAATAGGAAGCCCGCGGGATGGCCGGACAAGCCACTCACGCGTGTGGAAAGTGGAAGTACCGACAGCATTTCTTGTCCGCTCCAGCGGAGGACCACCGAGAAAGGGGGCGCGTTTTCGGGGCCGAGGAGCGAGAACGGGATGCCGACGACCATGCGGTACTACTCGTCGTCGATTTCGAGTATAGTAAATAGCACACAAATAGGAAAGAAAAGAGAGGGGGTTGGCAGAAGAATTCAAATGAATGATCAGAACTTTTTCTCGGCAGCGGAGGTTATAGACGCTCAGCTTGAGGAGGGGGAGCGTTTGTACGCGTTAGCCAAGGAAAAATACGGTGAAACGAAAGTCATCACCCTTGTCTTGGATGGCAAGACGCTGGAGGTGATTTTCAGCGATGACAAGCGGCTCGAGCGCTTCTTTGCGTTGAGCTGCAATTGCCATAGTGCGATTTGCTGTCGGATGACACCATTGCAAAAGGCTCAAATTGTTTCATTATTTCAGAAAAAAACGGGATTAGCTGCACTTGCCGTTGGGGATGGCGCGAATGACGTAAGTATGATCCTGGAAAGTCGAATTGGGGTTAGTATTATGGGGTTAGAAGGCTCGCAGGCAGAGCTCGCGAGCGATTATGCCATTCCAAAATTTCGATTTCTTAAGCGCCTTTTAATGGTACACGGCCGCTTTTCAATCTATCGTGATTCCCATTGCATTCTCTATAGCATCTACAAAAACGTAATTCTTGTCATTGGCCTGTATACCTACTGCTTCTACAGCGCCTTTTCCGGAGTTTCGTTTATTGATTCCTGGCTTTTGGCATTGTATGGTGTTTTTTTTGTACTATTGCAACCAATAGCAATAGGTACCCTTGATAAAGATGTCCCTGACGAGCTAGCAGAATCTATCCCGCAGCTCTACCCTCCCTTATCTCGCGAACTGATGTATTTCTCCCGAGGTTATATTGCAAAATGGCTTTTGGATGGAGTCATCGAGGGATCTGTATATATATTTTTCCTTATTTACTGCATCATGAGGAAAGATGTATTGTACCCGGATAAGACCGCTGGGATTGAGGATTACGGGCAGGTTTTTTTCACGATGGTCGTGTTGGCTGCCAATCTTCGGATGATTATTACCTTTCGTTATTTGATGATCATTTTTATTATTATCTACGTGGTGGTGATGGTTAATCTTCCGTTGTTTGAGATCATCTACGCCCATTTTCATACTCTGGCGGGGCCGAATTCCTCTGCTTTTATTGCAATGGAACAGTATAGTTCGTATAATATTTATATTTGCATAATTTTTGTGATTGGTGTATCGATTGTCTACACGATCAGTTCGAATAACTGCATTCAAATGACTCGACCGTGGACGAACGCGGCTTTCGCGATTACAGCCGCGCACGCCTCGCCATATCGCAAGACCAGTAAAGAAGAATTAAAGCGCCTTAAGGAGGAATATCGTTGCCGCTCCCGGCTCGCAAGGGAAGGAGGCGGAGAGGGAATGGACGCGAGTCGTCGAGTCGCTGCCCTTTACGAGATAAGCAGACACAAAGGGTCGAAAACGCATTGATCTTGCGACCTCTACTTTCATTATTTTTATTTCTCCTTATGAAAAGGGGGATGGATGGTAACGATCTACTAACAGTAATCTGATATTATTTCTTTGTGTATATGAGATGGCTGTGTTTTAAGGGAGAAGGGGTTGCAACACGTTTATTGTCTAAACGTTTTTTTTTTGAAAAAAATATTATTTTTGTTATTGTCGTAAGCGTTATATCTACTATTGGTGGTTTAATTTCTATTCTTTTTCCTTTCTAGATTACTAATTTGCTTATAATGTGTGGCATTGACTTGAACCTCTAATTTCTTAAAAAGTTACAAAGGCGAAATTATTATTTATAAACCACATATTTATACTTATATGCTTAACAGTCATATATGAGACATCAGTCCACAAAATGCCATTCACATACTTTAAGGTTGCACAATAATAATGTTGATCCAGTGATTTTTATTAAATAGCCAAAAAAAGGACCGGAAAGATCCCCTATTATATACATATATATAGATAGATTTATAATATTAAAAAAAGTTAATAAATTTTGGAAAAGTTCTGTACTTTGCCTGTTTGGCACCTTCAGAATGATTTGCCCTCTTTTTTTTTACCTTTTTTTGATATGTATGTATTTGTGTTTGAAACAGGTCAGATTTTTTTCGTCATTTCATAAATTTTTTATAATTTATGAGAGTGAAAAGACTAACAACTCTCCCCTCCCTTGTCCACATGAGCCTATGTAAACTAAGCTTCAGATGAGGGTAGTCTCTTGTCAACCATCATTATGAGTGTTTTTATCAGTCAACATATTTTGGCCCCCCAATTATTCAATATATTTCTAGTGTTTATATATTGATTGTTGTCTCATATTCTCATCTGAACATAAAATTGTTGTAATTTCTTGAATATCTCTTTACTGGAAAAGTTTTATGGCAATTCATTTTCTTTTACTTCCCAACATAATTTTAGGTTAGACTTTAGTATTGTTTCTAGTGTTTGTATTTTTTGTTTATTGAGAGGGTTTCCTTCATCCTGAGAAAACTTTCTAAGTTGCCTCGATACAAACACGCACGCATAGCACAAATACCAAAAAAGACAAGGAGTTTTTAAACTCTGAAGCCATTTTTTCCCTTTATCCTCTACAAATTAAACTACGCTGAAACCCTATTTCGGTATTGATAGCCCTTACCGTTTTCTATCCCTTTTCCGGCCCCCAAAGACACTCCCCAAGTCATTGTCTTCAAAAATAAAAAATAAAGAATTGTACAAACGAAAGAGAACGAACCTTACACCCGTGGTACCCGCGCCTAGACGGCCAATCCTAATCCCGTAGTACTATCATACCCACGACACCCATGCCCTGCCATGGCGTGTTACGACGCAGCTTCGTCGCCTCCGGTCTCCGCTATAGCGCCGCGGCGTTCCTCGCCCACCCCGCCAGCCTCCCCCTCGGCGCGGGAGTCGCCGCCAGCTCCACGAGCACGACGTTGCCCGGGCTCCACGGCTGCGTCGACCTCGCCCTTCCCTATCCCCCCCCCCCTCCCTCCGCGCTGCCGTTGATCCAGGCCTCGCTGCAC